AAACACACCAGACTGGCCAGACTAGAGACCAGCAAACACTGTCTGGCTGATTAGATGTGCTTACAAACATATCACAACACCATACATACAGAGCGCGTTCTTCACAAATCTACTTCACAGCTGTCATGCAACTCTTCTGTTCTTTAAGTTATCTTAAAATCTTTCGGTTTTTTAAGTACCATATAAATGTGATGCAATCATGTTGTACGGTGACATTCATGCCGTTTGTGTGTGTGTGTGTGTGTGTGTGTGAGTGTGTGTGTGTGTGTGTGTGTGTGTGACTGTGTGTGAGTGTGTGTGTCTGTGCGTGTGTGTGTGCAGGTGGTGTGGATCACAGCCACGATGCCCTATGTCGTCCTCGTTGTCCTGCTGCTGCGCGGCGTCACACTGCCTGGAGCCATCGATGGCATTAAAGCCTACTTGAGCGTGGACTTCCTGCGCCTGTGTGACGCTCAGGTACACACACACACACACACACACACACACACACACACACACGTGAGTCTGAATCTGTGTGAATGACTGCTCAAAACTCTAATATAAATGTGGCTGGTTCTCAAAGAGTGGACGATCCCTGAGCGATAAACCCTTATGCTGCTCTTTAATGCTATTATATTCTATGTACGTCTAGAATATAATTATGAGGATTCATTTCCACTGATATACCACTTTTGGAAGGCCAAACAATGTAGTTTCGCTTTCACAACGAAACACAGTGTCACACACAGCGGGCTAGAGTGAGCGGAGACTTGCGGCAACCACATGTGACGACCCCGGGCTGGACTCCGCTTCGTCCACGGTGAAAGCCGATCCGGCGATGTTGATGTATTTCCCCAGCGTCCAGCACGGATCAGCTCTAGGCATGACGAAATTGTAAAGTGTTGCCATTATATTTTGCTGAACAGCATGACGTCTGTTTTGGGAAAATTGCATTTATTTTTCATGTTCATTAAAAAAAAAAGTAGTGAAATAAACAAATTAATATTATAAATTAAATCTCATGCGTGTTATATACAGCATAATTATAGTAATATAGCTTTGGAGCACTGGATATATGTTCAGTGCTTCATGTTGTCTATAATATATTTATATATTTTATAATACATTTTTCCAGAAGCACTGAAGTCCTGATTGATCTGAGATCAGCCGGTGATCGGTGTTCATCGTGACACACTCTTATAAACAACAGCAGAATTATTTGAGAGCAAAATCAATGTGTGACAGAGAGAGAGGCAGAATGTCAGTGGAACTGAAACATGTCGATGTGTCTGATTCTCAGCAGCATTTCTGCTTCTGTTGGACTGATTTGGATTTGCTGTCACAAATGCACAGCTACTTTGTTTTTCTTATGATCTTTAAAACCATTTGATCTGACGAGTTCTGCTGAAATGCTTGGAATTCATTTTACAAACAAATATCTATTCAAACGCTTAGGTTTGGTAACATGTTTTAATTTTTCTGAAAGAAGCCTATTCTGCTCACAAGTACTGCATTTATTTGATCAAAATACAGTATCAATTATTAAATATTTTTTTTATATCTAAAACCACTGTTTTCTATGTGAATATGTGTTAAACTGTAATGTATTTCTGTGATGCGCAGCTGTATTTTCAGCATCATTACTCCAGTCTTCA